CCCCCTGATGGGCCCTGCTCTGTGTGTGACAGGCGGCAGTGCCCCAACCCCCCTGATCGACCCTGCTCTGTGTGTGACAGGGTACGGAGCCCCAACCCCCCTGATGGGCCCTGCTCTGTGCATGACAGGAGGTGGCACCGCAACTTCCCTATTGACCCTGCCTTGAGTGTGACAGGGGGCGGTGCCCCAACCCTCTAATCGGCCCTACCCTGAGCGTGACTAGGGGTGGCATCGCAACCTCCCGATCCGCCCTGCTCTGTGCATGACAGGGGGCGGTGCCCCAACTCCACAATTGGCCCTGCTCTGAGCCCAACCAGGGGCTGCACCTAGGGATTGGGCCTGCCCTCTGCCACCTGGGAGCAGGCCTAAGCCAGCAGGGTGTTATCTCCTGAGTGATCCCAGACTGCGAGAGGGCACAGGCCGGGCTGAGGGAACCCCCCTTCCCCCTGAGTGCACAAATTTTTGTGCACCGGGCCTCTAGTATATATATAAAAGCCTAATATGCTAAGTGTCCAATCATTTGATCATTCAACCAGTTGCTATGATGTGCACTGACCACCAGGAGGCAGACACTCTGGTTGGTTAGCTTGCTGCTGAAGTCCGGCCAATTGGGACTAGGTGAGACAGCCAGACACACCCTGGAACCCTCCGGCAGGCCCTTGCCAGCCCTGATCATGCACCAGTGGGGTCCCTCAACCTGACCTGTGCCCTCTCACAATCCAGGACCCCTTGGGGGATGTCAGAGAGCCAGTTTTGGCCTGATCCCCACAGGCCAGGCCGAGGGACCCCACCGGTGCACGAATCCATGCACTGGGCCTCTAGTACTGAATCATTCACATATATCCTCTTTTTGTTCAGGCAGGGGATTAGAATCTTCAACAAACAAGACTGGGTAATAAAAGTATAATGAAAATGCCCACTGAACAGTTCTTTTAAAAAACACTCCCTTTTTCCTTTTTGCTCTTACCGGTTCAGTGTATGAAAACCCCAGGCCCTCTGCGGCCGATTTTATTAGTTCTGATTCCAGTTTATGACGCTTCACAAACACAGCCAAATCCTAGAGGAGAAAAATATGAAAGAAAAATTTAAATTTAAATAACAGTTAAGAGATATAATAAGCATTTAAGTGGAAATAGGTTTTATTAGACAGTGACAGTAAGCAAAAGAAAAAAGAAAAAAAGAAAAGAAAAACAGCTGCAAAAATGTCTCCATCTCAACAGGTTTTTACAAGGTAGTACATATGAAAACAATATGCTTCTGGAATTAACAAAGTTCTAAAGAACCAAGTTCTAGAACCTTTACTAAATTTTCAGGTATATTTAAGTGCAGTGTTATATTTTTTACTAACTCTCCCTGGAGCACCTAGTAGAATGCAGAATTTCTTCTGAGAACATTGATCTCACCTCTCGGGCCTCGATGGATGCCAGGTCCATGCTGTCGTCCAGCAGGCTCTCATAGTAATTCACATTGTCTAGGACATCCTGGTCATCCGGATGGAGAAGAAGATAGGCCTTGGCACACTCTAGGGCTTTCACATATTCACCAACTGAAAGATCAAGGAGTTGAAGCATTAGAGTCAGCTGAGGTCTGTCTAAAGGAGGTTGAAGGGTACTTCAACATGTATGTGAAAAGTCAGCATTATATGTCAATAAGGGAAGATAAGGTGAGGCTGAGTATAGCAATCAGAAATAGTTACAGGTAGAAGGAACACGATTTCAGGTATTCCAAAGGTACTACTTTGGTCTTCTTTGGTGCTAGTTGTTTTACATAAATTATCAAAAGTTTCCATCTGAAGATGTATGCTGACAACTTATATTATTTAATACAGATACACAGAATAGAATTTTAGTAGTTAATTCTGATTTTTGTACTGAGTTTGACAACATGGTACCTAAGACTAATTTCAGCAATCAAAATTATATTCAATGCTCTTAAATATAAGAAAAGATGCTCAGTCTCTTTCTTAGATAAATGGAAATTAAACTATATTGAGATATTATTTTTCACCTAATAGATTGGGACAATTTGATATCTGACAATTTGATAATATATTCTGTTGATGAGAAATAAAAATGTACTCAATGGAGAAAAAATTGGCAACATCTATTAAAATTACAAACAAATAAACCATTTAATCATAGAATTCCATCTTATAGGTATTATGTGCAAATGTAAAATAAGATATGTAAAATGTTATTCATTTTATCATTATCATAACAAAAATTATAAACAATACAATACCCATCAGTAAAGAATCACATGAAATAAATTATATGATATTCAGATGTAAAAAAAATTAATGAGGAAGGTCTGTATGTATTGATACAATTAGGTTGAATCATATAAAATTATCCAAATTTGACCTAAGCTAATGGTAATTTCATAGGCCAAACCTACTAAAAAAGTCTGATATGTATTTTTAGGTAAAGAAATCAATGTAGAGAACAGTGTAAATAATATGCTATCTTCATTGTGTAAGATGCAGAAATAAGTCAGGGTGTGTATGTGTGTGTGTGTGTGTGTGTGTGTGTGTGGTGTTGTGTATGTGTGTATTGTTTCCATATAAACTTTTTAGAGGGATAAATAAGAAACTATGTTGCAGGACATAACATCAGGCTGTGAGGAAAAGGAAGCAAGGGGGGCTCTTATGATATTTGGTCTCTGAACCTGTGAATATATTACCTTTTATAATTAAATCGAAAAAAAAATTTTGAAAATCACATGAAATGTCAGTCTAGTATCATTTTCAGGACATTATCACAGCATTTCCCATTTATAGTTTCACCTCCTGCTCCTCTTGTCCTGAGCTATGGTGATGTGAGAGGAGAGAGCGATTCTGTAATGAGGAGCACCACCCCTGGCCTGCAAAGGTCTTCATGGATAACCCACGCTTTACCTCGATAGTAGGCAAACTGTAGGTAGTCATAATGCAGGGGAAGAAAGTTCTCAATCGGGGAGAGGCGGCCAGGGCGGGTGGCAAGTTCCCTCACGCACTCATGCTGACAAACAAGCACCTGCACGTAGTGATCTGGAAGACAAGAGCCCACAGTGGGTCCCCCCAGTCAGCTTAATGTCCAGACCTCAGTTAGAGCCACAGTGACAACAGGGCATTCCTCACCTCACCACACCTGGGAACCATATCATTATTATCCTCACTCCATGACCAGAAATCCTTTTCACCAAGGGAGTTAAGTGACTTGCCAAGGCCTCCTAACCAGTGATCACTATAGTAATTAACAGTAGAGTCAAGCTCTAGCCAGTTTGGCTCAGTGGATAGAGCGTCAGCCTGCAGACTGAAGGGTCCCGGATTCGATTCCAGTCAAGAGCATAGGGCCTGCAGGAAGGGGTGTGCAAGAGGCAGCCAATCAATGATTCTATCTCATCATTGATGTTTCTCTTCTTTTCTCTCTTAAATCAATAAAAATATATATTTTAAAAAAATAGTAGATTCCAAATCTTCCATCTGCTGGTCTTGTGTCTGTACTGCCCTCTTCCCTTCCCTGTACCCTGTTTTCTATACATCTCCTAAAAGTGACATAGGCCATCTCACCCCACTCACACCCAGCTGAATAGCTGACTCTCCTATTATAACAACTTCAGAGCCTCTTTTTGGATATGTTAATAGGCTGAAATAGGCCAAAGTCAAAATCTGAAGTTTGGGTCCCGGTTTTGTTAAGGACTAGTTGAGAGAAAGGAACTGCCCTGTACGTGGGGAGGTCCCTGCAGAGAAGTAAAGGAGAATGCTCTTTCTGTGTATTAACATCTTCAGGCAACTTCTCCTAAAGGGGAAATAAAAACAATATTCCTTTACAGCTATAGCGTAGGAACCCATTTGGCCCAATTACAAATTAGTCCAACAACTGGACAAAATTTAGCTATACCAAATCCTAATACTGTAGGGAATCGTAAAATAAGAGAAGGATGAAAGCTGAATAATTTAAATAAGCACTTTGCCTCTCTCTGTTCCCCTTTCTTTGTTCCCATTCTCCTTGCCTGCAAACAGGCCAAGATCCTGAAGTGTAGGGGTTTTCAAGCTTCCTTTAGTTGTGGGCTCTGGCTTATCTAAGCATGAGCTGAGGAAACACAAGTGGCTAATGAACCAGAGGATAAAATAACAACATGCTTGCTATATTTTACCCAAATTTTGATTTTTACAATGAAGATGAAGGTAGTCTTTGCCAGCAAGAGAATAAATAGTTCATTCATGCTCGTGCTGAGCGGGTTCTCTTGAGAATGATGACTGTACAATTTAATTTACCACAACTGCCTTCTTTCAAAACCTACTCAGTTAGGCAGAGTTCAGATTGTACCTCGATGACCTTGAAGAAGAACCACAAACCACAACAAGAAGGAAAGGTACACTTTCTGGTACATTAAAAAAAAAGAGTGTGCCATCTGGCCATGGTGGCTCAGTGGTTGAGTATCAACCCATGAACCAGGAGGTCATTGGTTCGATTCCTGGTCAGAGCACATGCTTGGGCATGCAGAAGGCAGTCTATCGATGATTCTCTCTCATCATTGATGTTTCTGTCTCTCTCTCTCTCCCTCTCCCTCCCTCTCTGAGATCAATAAAAAATAAATAAAAGAAAAAAAAGTGTGCTATTTTTTACATAAGCTGGCCAACTCAAGCCAATATAGCATAGCTAACAGAATCCATGCTATCCATTGATTCTTATCTCCAGGTGGGGGAATGTGAGGGAAAGAATGAGTTCTGTTTATTTGATTAGAATATTAGAAACAAATAGCTAGCTATTTTATTTCTTAAGAAAATAATAACAAACAACCCTCAACTGTTTTCTCTTAGTTAGCTGGTCATTTACCTTAGCTGGTCACACTCCTTCTAATTCCAAATGACAAGCAAAAGGAAAAGGTGGGAAACACATCCACCAAAAACTCAAAATCTGAATAAAAGTATTTTGCAAAGCAAGATATAAATAGCAGCAAAGTAAGAGTGACACAATAATATCCTTTAGGGCTTCAACAAGCATCACTAGTAATAAATAACTGTATTCAGAAACCATTTGTATATTTCTCTAATTTTTAATGGTCTTCCAACTCTAAAAATTAAAATATTCTGGCTTTCTAAATACATTTATGTTTTAAAAGCCAGTTTTACTCCACATTTAGGACAGTTTTGAACCAAACAAGAATTTACATAGCATTATAATGTCACTTTTTATTAGTTGTATTCCTTGCTTCTTTTACCAAACATTATTGTGCAATTAATATGTTTCTAATAAGTTTAGATCCAAGACACTGTATGGTAATATTTTTTAAAATTTCTTTCTCATAAAAAATTGAATATGTTTCAAATTCCCAAGACTTACCATATTATTATAATATATAATATTTGGCTTGAACTTAAAGAACTATGACTTTTTCTTAAATCAATTTTCTTTACTGGAAGTGGGCGTCATGGTGTTGGAAGTCGTGTTAAGTGTTAAGAGCCTGAATTAGGAGATCTCTCTTCTTTTCCAGCAAACAGCATGCTGTTCTAGTAATTAGGAAATTACTAAATGTTAAGCTGTGGGGAATTGTTAGTCAATTTTCCTAAACCAGATCTAGGACATTTGCCAAGGCTGTTTAGTCGCCATTGGTAGAGGCAGGCACGTGTAGAGGCAAATATGGAAGTGGAGGGAGGACACATATCCCCACAAAGCCACCAGATAGTAAACTATAATAAAGGAAAAGTATTTCTCTGTAGAGAAACACACAGCATTTAAAATGTAAAACACATGCAACTGGCATTCAAATGAGCAGTGCTCACAAAAATGCAGGCAAATGGTTCTGGCAGAAGCCCCATGAAACACAACTCTGGGGAAAAATTCCTCAATAATTCAAATATTGGTATTGATTTTAAGTGAGTTTAGTTGATTTAGGGTAACCGAGTGTGCGGCAAATTGGTCATTTGACAAATCGATTTTCAGTCTAACTTCCTTGTCTAATGTAAAAGATATTTCCCCAAGTGCCCCACTAAAGGATCTCAACAATGTATGACCTACATTTTCACAAATACAGAGCATTATTAACCCTTTTAGTCTTCATAGTACAAGTGATGGATATCTCCTCTCCTTTGGTTATTCAACCCATTCATGTAACACATATTTACTAAGAACCTACTATTTGCCAGACTCTGTACTTAGGTACTGAGGACTTGGCACTGAACAAGATCGGACATTAGCCAGTGATTGAGGAAAAGGATATTTGGAAGGTCAGTAAGTGGAAATGAGCTTGGCATATGCAAAGAATTAAAAGAACTATAGTAGGAATGTGTCACTAAGAGGGGAGGGGGGAAAGAGGATGAAAATGTAGACAAGTATGTCCTCCTTGTTAAGGTTTTGGGTTTTATTCCAAGTGCAATGGAAGCCACGAGGGTTTTCAGCATGTCTGTGAGTACACTTTCCCTTTTTTTAGAAGACTGCTCTGTTGGCCTACACACAGTGGTTCTCAACCTTCCTAATGCAGCGACCCTTTAATACAGTTCCTCATGTTGTGGTGACCCCCAACCATAAAATTATTTTTGTTGCTACTTCATAACTGTAATTTTGCTACTGTTATGAATTGTAATGTAAATATCTGATATGCAGGATGTATGTAAAGGGGTCGCGACCCACAGGTTGAGAACCACTGAGCCCTACAGAGTAAAACCCAAAGAGGACATAAGGACCAGCAAGGAGGCTATCACAGTGGCTTAGTGAAAATATACTGTTGATTTGAAGCAGGGTGGTAGTGAAAGAGGTGAAGAGAACCAGGGAATCTTAAGTACTATTAGAAGGGGACATCTATCAAAGTTTGATAACAAATTAGAGGGGTATAGGAATTGAGGGAAATTTTGGATTGAAAGATAACTTCTTGAGGTTTGGTTTAAGCTACTAGGTGAGTGGCACTTTCTATGGAGAGAGAAAACACTGGAAGTTGGGGAGAGCATACTGACTTCATGAATTTATGTTTCTATGAGTATATGTGAAGTTGAACATTATTTTTCATCTATAATAATAAAAGCATAATATGCAAATCGACCAAACGACTGAACAGCAGAACTACCATCCAGACGACCTTCCAGACGACCACACTATGACACGCACTGGCATCGGGCCAGCCAAGGAGAGTGTGATGTTATTGGACGGGGGGCCCTGCCATGGCTCCACAATCGCCCCACAGAGGGAGGCTCAGGCCACCCGGCTGGCTGCGCTGCAGTGGGTGGGCAGGGCCTCCCTCTGTCGAGCCATTGATCTGGGGGTCCCACAATCGATCGCCCCACAGAGGGAGGTCCAGGCCAGCCAAGCAATCGCACCCCACACCTGTGCCTGTTGCCTGCAGAGTGAGGCGACTGGTGGCAGGGGACAGGGGAGCTGCGCTGCACAGATGGCAAGCAGTGGCAGCGGCAGGGGTAGGTCAGCTGCTGGCAGTAGGGGAAAGGAAAGCCCAAATAGGCCCTGATCGCCAGCCAGGCCTAGGGATCCTACGGGAGGGGTCCCGGATTGCAAGAGGGCACAGGCAGGGCTGAGGGACACTCCACTCCCTGTGCATGAATTTCGTGCACCAGGCCTCTACTATTTTTATAACTTGGAACATACTACACACTCAACAATTATTTGTTAAACATTTGTTATTGAATAAATCACCCTTTGCTCATTTTTCAATTATATAAACCTTTAAAACATGAGGTCCCAGAGTGAGAAATGACTAGTCTGGATTCCGAGTTTCACTTTAATCACATTACTTAGTCTTTCTGAGGTACAAATTCCTCATTTTTTAAAAAAGAAGAGAGTGAATAACAATAGTATCTACACAAGAAGTTGTTTAGAGAATTAAAAGAGAGATAAAGAAGTAAAGTGCTTTGTATATTGTAACTGCAAAGTGAGTGTTTGTTATTATTATTACTACTAGTAAATAACAAATAAATTACTACTCATAATAATTTATATGCTCCATTTAAATATTAAGGATACTAACACTTTGCCTGTAATATTTTTTTTCAATTTTTCCCACTTGTCCTTTGTAAATCAGCTTGACTTACTGTATATTTTGTGTTTGTCTTACTAAGGTCTACCTTTTTCTTCATATTTCTTGTTTTTGCCATGCAAAGAAGAGCTTTTCCTTCCTACTATTACACAAATGTTCTTCTGCATTTTCTTCTAACAGTTTTATTTTTACACCTAAATTATTAATATAAATAGAATGCATTTTTGTGTATATTTTTATATACACCAGAAAACTCACTCCCCACCACAAATGCTTAACTAGTTAATCTCCTCAATTAATGTAGAATGTATATTACCTACTATTTTAAATACTACTTTGTAACACATTAAATTCTCACATATAATAGAATACCCTTTTAAATAACTAAAGAATACTATATAAAAGTATTCACTACTACATTGTTTATAGGAATAATAAATTGCAACTTCCTTAATATTCATCAGTAAAAAACTGGTCGAATAAATTGTGCTGTCACCACATAATGAAACATTGTGCAACTATTAAATACAATAAGGTAGATCTCCATGTACTTACACGAGAAGAAGTCCACAGTACATTGTTAAGCATAAAATAAAACAAAAAATATGCTGGTAATTAGTATTTGTAGTATTGTCCTATTTTTATAAAAAATAGAATTATCTTACATAAATATTTAGATATGCATCTGAAAATGTTTGGGAGCACAGTCACCAAAATTTAAACTACATAAATGTATCTATAGCAGATAGGAGTGTTTAGATATATGAAAAAAAAATATGTTGTTGAAATATTTTTAGAGATCGCATGTAGTATTTCTATAATCATAAAAGAAATAAAAGAAAAAAAGTAAGTTTTACCTGCAATAGCTTCATAGAGACCAGCTTTATACCTTAAATAATCATACTCTTCAAATCTCTGAGGCCCCTCACACAGGGCTCGACACTCTGTATCTTCATTGAAATATTCTCTCAAAGCTTGTTCAAAGTACTTGATAGCTAGCTCAAAGTCATCGGCCTCGTAATGTTTGACTCCTGCACTGTAACTCTCCTGCAAAGAAACAGAAAAACTTTTTTTTTTCAAATAGCACCCACCCACAGGGCACTTGGATAGCAGGGTTCATGCAGACTCGGGACCACTCAGGTAGGTGGGATATTGAACTCCTGTGCTGTAAAAGGGTAAAAAAGGATTGCACTGGGAGGTAAAGTATAACTTCCCCAGTTTCAACTAATTGTAGACAAGAAAGGACTTAACTGGGCAACTAGTGTGGTGTCAGTCAATTTCATTTTCTTCCTGAGCACACTCAAGACTATACTGTCTGCACCTGAAACCTCTATAATTCTCACAAGGAGAAGCCAACAGTAGGATTGGCAGGAGAAGCACCACGGGCTTATGAGAGGCAAAAGAGCAGTTATATAGGTACAGGTGCTTGGTATCTATGATCTAGCCCTACCGGGGGAATTAAACATACATGTAACCCAGGAGGGGATGTCATGGGGGTCTCTGGCAGCCGCAGGGGAGACTCCAAATCCCAAAAGGGTTTTGGTCCCAGGTATGGAAAGGGGCTGAAAATAGGACCTTGTTGGGGAGCGGAGAATAACCTGTTGTTGCCAGCACCCCAGGTTAATACCCTAGAGCTAGTGTATTAACCTGGCCCTGGGAAACTCAAACTTGTACCTGCTGGTGAGCTCCCCTAGCGGGGAGAAAGGTCTTGCCCCAGGCTTGCTCTTATAACCTACCATAATTGATAAGTGGCCAACTACTATTCCATCTGGAAGATTTGTATTCCTCCTCTCACAACTAGTATTCTGGGCTGGAGGGAATGTCACTTGTCAAAAGGTATGGTATAGAAGACCAGAAAGACCACATGAACAAGCCACTATTTTTACACAGGATAGAGCAATGGCCTGTACCCACTGGTGCTCATTTGCCTCTGTTGGTACCTACTAAACATTTGTCTTATTCTCCCTAGTTCAGTGCAGGCTCACAGCTCTGCAAGATGGGCTAATGAAGTGGCTCTCAGGTCCAATGTTTCAGACTGTTAGGTTTGTTAATAAAATGTCCCTCTCTGCTACTGCTGGGCTGCCTTGGAGAACAAACCCGGTCAACCTGACAGAATGGTCCAATCTTAACATAATTTAAAAATGTTCTTGGGACTGACAATCAACTTTATGTACTTTGATACTAGTATGTATAAATCTATTATATATCTTTATTATTCCTTTACTATATGCTATACGACTGCTGTAAAAAACAAATATAATGTCTCACCCATCCTCCTCCCTCTCCAGGATATATGTGGAAAATATATGGGCAGATTGTATGGGAGTGGAAAGGAAAGCATCCATGTTGGGGTGGAATGTGTGGTAAATGGGAACATGGGCCCCATCTCATGCTTCAACTCCCCCTGGAAAATATAGTGACAGCCTCTGTAGATGGACTGTTATACATTGGGATAGGCAGGACTCCACCCTCCCCTCTCCTTCAGCAGTAAGATGCTTTCTGTAAGAAACTAATCTCATAGATATAAGACTTAAAATTAATGGGGAATGACAGGGAAGGGGCACTAAATAGAAATAGAATCACAGTTGTTTGATAGCTACTCACTATAAAGAAAAGATTTTCTTACAAATCCTGGGGAACTAAAGGACATGTTATAACAAGGAGAACAGCTATAGCTGGTTTGCCCAGTGGATATTGGCCTGCGGACTGAAGGGTCCCAGGTTCAATTACAGCCAAGGGCACATGCCTGGGTTGTGGGCTCAATCCCCAGTGTGGGGCATGCAGGAGGTAGCCAATCAATGATTCTCTCTCATCATTGATGTTTCCATCTCTCTCTCCCTCTCCCTTCCTCTCTGAAATCAATAAAGTAATATTAAAAAAAGGAAAAAAGGAAGGAGAGCAGGCCCTGGAGATAAGGCAGTCCAGAGCCCAGATCAAGGACAGAACCTATCTGAAGGGAGACAGTGTTTGGGGCTAATCTTTGAAGCACTTGTGGCTAATCTTTACAAATACAATGAAAGAGACACACCCTGGGAACTCACTAACTTTACAATTTTTCCCAACCACTAACCCTATATAAGAGCTTGTTTAAAATGAACTGTTAGAGCCGTCTTTTCAGCGTGTTACACTTCTGCTCCTCCCTCAGATTGCTGGCTTTCTGATTAATAAACGCACCACAAAGATTCAACCTCATCTATACTTATTTGTAGGTAGCAGCAGACAGCTCAGACCCTTTCATGTCCTGTTTCATATTGACTGATGGAATTGTGACATACAGGGCTGAAAGATAGGTAGAGGACCTGCACAATTATGAGAAAATTATGAGATCTTGAAGTTATTAGCTAGAGACTTTAGTATGCCAGGTCATATATTGGCAGAGAAGGTTACCAAGCTCCTTTAATTTTATGTTAGCACAAATGTGCTGTAGTTATAATGCATATTGACATATTTCTCTTCATCTTACTTAAGGAGCAATGTGATTTTGTGCTGGCTACAGTACTAAATCCTGGGCTTTTTCTGGCTGCATGGGACCTAGTCCTTCCCTCCACCCCCCAAAAAACGATACTTTCTAACCCTTTTGAATGTAGGTAGGGCCATGCAACAAAATGCAGGAAGATTGATGGGGGTGGACATGACAACCATTTCCTGGCCTGGCCCAGTTGAAAAAATAAGGGGGGAGAGGAGGCTTCCATTTAAAATCTTCCTCTCTTATCATTTTATTTAATCATCTTGGAGTCCACATGTTGAGAATAGAAATGTCTCTAAATGTAAAAGAAGCCCTTTCAACATATTGTCATCTTAAGTAAACAAATAATTATATAGCTTGAAACCAAAACCCCAGAATTTGAAAGTACAGGTACAACGGAAAAACCACGGGGACTTGGAGCTAGGAAACTATAGTGTGACCTGAGCAGTTCACACTGGCTCAAGTCCGAGGTGGAAAATAATGCTGGCGGGGGAGCTGAAGCTCAGAAAGGGTTACAGATATTTATATCATATTCTACTTTTCACCGTGTCAAACTAATTTTCTAAAATAATTTTCATTGTCTCTCAATTTTTAACCATGATAATTATAACATTTTATGTAATAACTCTAAAAGTATAAAAATGTCACTGTTTTGGAAATCAGGAACCATTTTGAGATATCCATTCACAGGAATCTGCTTTGAGGCAAATGAAACTCAGGAGCATTTAGCTCCACATGGTTGGCAGGGGTCCCCAGAGCTCACCAGGTGTGGTCTGGCTTCTCGATCTACCAATTGGGATTCTTCGACGCCGGCCATTGTTCTGTAATTCTCAATGTTCTGCTGCATTTCCATGTGCTCAGGATTGGCCATGAAAAATGTGTGCCCTGCTTCCACTGCTTTTTCCAACTGGTTAAGCTGTGGAGAAGAAAAAAAAAAAAGGATCAAATAAAGGTAAATATTTCTAAACCAGGCTCAGTACTAGGCTTGAAAGTGACAGTTCACATTCACGATATTAAATCTCCATCCCAAAGGGCAGGAGGTTAATAAATAGTACTACTAAAATGATATGTGGATGATTTGGCTTTAGTGAGAATGGATACATGTACTTTGTTACAAGTTCATTCTCTTCCCCTCTTTTCTAAGTCATCTGTGCTTTCTGGAAATTGAATCTTCGATTTGTTTTATAATTAATCAAAATAAAAAGCTGCCAGTGCTGTGCCACTTCTAATTCATATTTTCAACATCTTTGTCTTCTATTTTCTCTTCATTTCTTTTTGTCCCTTTTGCATTAGTTCTAACAATGGGAGTATACACACCTATGATTTTCCAAAGCATGGGATTGGGTATATCATCTACTACACCAAGTGTGTTACCAGGCTTTAGAATATGAACAGTACAAAGTTGTAAGATTAAATTATTCTAATAAGAGATGTGAAATACAGCACATACAATGTTCTACCACACTCCTTTGATTGAGGTATTTGATTTCAAATTTACAAGTTTGATTTTCATTAATTCAAAAGGAAGAACTTTTAATAACCACTATATAGACACTATAAATCTTCTCCTAACCCACTTAATATACTGCTTTCCATGTAACGTACAGTGATAAATTTTTAACAAAATGGAATTAAATTTACTCAATTTAAGACATGTTTCCTTATGCTTTAGTCATGAAGAATGTCTGTAGATAGATCCATTTGCCCCATATCAGAAAACTGAATATTAGTAGCCTTTTCCATGGTAAATCCAAATAATGTCTGATCTATTTTAAAGTATAAAGAATTAAAAACTAATTGTTCCTGAACAAGTAAATGTAAAATCATGGAATAGCATAGCAAATTCAACTTAGTATACTTTTAACAGTTTGGCCACTCAACTATGAGTAACATAAAGTCCCCAGTAATTGAATCTCATGATATATAAAGCATCTTAACACTTACCTCAGAAAAGATAAACTGGCTTATTTCAAGACCTGACATCCTTAAAGTTGTCTAATAATAGTAAAATGTTCCCCATTCCCCTTTAATTTTCATATTACTACCTACCGGCATTCTTTCCATTAAATCTCGTCTGAAATCAACTTTCCCTACCACTTTGATTTTGTTCTCAATTGTATGCTCCCAGAATTATTTTGACTGTCAAAATCACTAATTTTGGACCTCGTTTCTTTCTCAATATCTCACACACTAACTCAATATCTCACACACTAAATTTCCTCAATATCTCACACACTAACACAAATAAATATGAATTTTGTGGACATCTACATAGCAGCAAGTATATAGATATAGAGGAAAAAGACTAGGTTGCAAATTGGGTGATGGTGTGAACCTGGAAAATGTCATCTAAGCATTTGTGCCTCAGTTCTCCTTTAAGAAAAATGCCCATAATTCTTGGAGGGGAAAGGGGAATGGGAGATGCGGGAAGAGACTGGACAAAAATCGTGCACCTATGGATGAGGAAAGTGGGTGGGGAGTGAGGGCGGAGGGTGGGGCGGGAACTGGGAGGAGGGGAGTTATGGGGGGGAAAAAGAAATGTAACCTGAACAATAAAGATTTAATTAAAAAAAAAAAAGAAAAATGCCCATAAAACACCCATACCACCATCTACTACATAGGATTTTGGAAGAAATTAATTGTGCAATATATATGAATGTGCTTCAGAAATCATTGAAACTCAAATAAAATAAACAACATAATACAACTTATATATGATCTATCAGTTGCAAGGATGTAAATATGCTCCCCTTAATGATGGATATCCTATATAATAAAGAGCTAATATGCTAATTAGACCAGATGGCAGAATGACCTTCCAGAATGACCTTCCAGGATTACCTTCCAGAACAACCAGTGGGTGGGAGGTGGGGCCACAAGGCAGCTGGGGCTGCTGGGAAGGCTGAGCCCCTTGGACAAATTTTGTGCATGGGGCCTCTAGTAATGTATAATGCTCATGGATACATAATTTGTAAGGATTGTTAAGGTTCTTGTGGTTGTGAAAACTGCCTCCAGTTAAGAGTCAAACTATAAGTCATGAACAAAACAGACTTGCACTGACATACTCAGGTCCTATAGCACCATTATAAGTGATAGAACATAAATCAATATTTGTTTTACATTTTCCTACCTTCATGTTTTGCTCAGGTTGTTCCATTGACCTAGAGATCCTTTGTCCCTTGGTCTTTTCTGGTTGAAATCTAACATATCCTATGGAGCCTAACTTCAACTCCGCTTTCTCTAATAGATCCTTTCCCCACTCTGTAGCTGTAGCCAAGCATTGCGATGCGATCCCTTTTCCTCTACTGTCACTTATATGCTGCCATACATTGTGTCTACCTGAGTATGTTTGTTTCTCTGACTAGAGCTCTGAGGAAAGAGACTATATGACTTATTTATCTTTTTGTTTCCCACCTACTTCACATACAGATGTCTATGAAATGTCTACGAAAAGAGAAAAGAAACTTCTAGCAAGTAAATGTTTTACACACAAATCAAAAGGTATATTAGTATACTATATGGGAGTGTGCTTCATAAGCTACCATGTACTGAAATGATATAAGTTTAATAACATCTCAGAAGTCATTATTCCCATTGAGAGCTCCCAATACTGTTTACCACTGATGACTGTGATCCAGTAGCTCTTGAAAACTGTCAGACAATGTTGATACACTAGTTCCTTTTCTTAAATTTGACCACATTGGTTTTTTGCTTATTTGGTGATTTCCCCATTTATAACCCAGTATTGAACATAATACCATCATCCCTAAGTATAAAAAGATTCTATGACTTAAACCATAAAACTTACTTGTGAACTGGCCAAGGCTTTTAAATCATTGTGAACCAGTTCAGGAAACTAGAATTAGCTGCCAGAGTCTATAAAACAGGCCATTATTTTAACTGGAAGCTTAATATTTTTGTACTTTATTTTAGAAATTAGATACACATATCTGAAGTGGTAGGGAAAGTCCAGGTGAACTTTTTTAGGTTGTAAATTGGGTGTATACTCCATATAATGCCATATTATTGGCTGGGGATTATTACAATAACTTGTAGGTACAAGGTTTCAGCTAAGGAAGGATCTACCCACTATTCTATTAAAACAAACAGAAAGCCAACTACATTAAAGGCTCCAAACTGGGTTTCCTTTAAGACTAAAATAAAACAAACCACAGGAGAGGATAGCTCTAATGTGAGGGTAACTCTATGCATCAGAAAAATAAATTGCAAATAAAGAACAACTGAGGAAAGGGAAATGATTTGACAGCAAGATGGTATCACTTTTAAGGAAGCCCACTGTTCCATTGAGATATGAGAGATGGGGGTCAGACATGCCTTCAAGAAGCACTGGCTCATTTCCCCTAGGACTCTGAAGAACTAAGCAAAATTTTTTTCCTGCCAGCCCAGAAGCAAAACTGTACGTGGCTGTCATGCTGCGTGGAAAAGAAATGAACACTGATTAAGTCAACACCCTGTTTGCATTCAGAAGTCCCTCTGTTCACTGCTGAGGGAATGAGACTCTTCTGAGACACACCTGATTTTCCAGGGCTAATCATAAAGGAGCATTTCATACACACTGACTACTTCAAAACCTTCAGCAGCTATCCAATGAGCACAAGGAGATTCCAGAAACTATGTGCCATGACATTCAAGAAACCCCAGGATTTGGCCCTCACCCTATCTTTCTAGCATAACTTCTTTCTATCTGTCATTATGCAAACTTTCCCCAAAAATGTTCTAGAAGAACTTCTAGAAGTTTTCTAATTTACCACCCTCCTGTTCAAGAAAACACACACGGGCCCAGTACTCCAGTCATACCAAAATTATTTATTTAATGCATTCACTTCTTTAGCTAAAATTTATTGTGCTAGACATTGTGATAGTCAATGAGAATAGAATACCTACATGACCCAAGTGGATAAAGAACCTGCTCTTTCCAGGTGTTCACAGTCTTATTCAGGGAGACAAATCTCAGGTAAACAAATCATTAATGAAAATTATTTCAGTTTGTGCTAAGTGCCACGAAGAAACCAATGAACAAATAACACTGTAAGAGCCTGCTGGGATTGGAATGAAAACAGGACTTATTTAGGTAAATTAGTCAAGGAAGGTCTCTCTGCAAAGGAATTTTGAGCTGAGACCTAAATTTTTGGGAAGTCAGTCATGATCAAAATGGGAGGAAGAGTGTTCCAGGCAAAAGAATGTCAAGTGAAATAAATGGACCTGAAGTGGAAAAGTCTGGAAATTTTTTAAAAAGCAGAGCAGAGACTAGGGTGAGAGATTTGAGGAGTTGGAGGACAGATCACCTGTATGCTACAATAAAGAGTTTGAATGTCATTCTAAGTGTAGGAGAAAACTATTAAAGAATTTGGAACATTATCCGACATGCATTTTAAAAGAATTCAGTCTGCTATGTGGAGAGTAGGTCTTTGGTAGCAGGCAGGAGAAGACCAGTAATCCAGGTCAGAGATAATATGTTTACTTTGCAGAACAAGAATATCACAGGATAGCTCAGTCCCCATCCTTTTTTCCCTTCTAACTTCCATTCCTTTCTCTTTCTTTCCATGTTGTCCATCCTTGCTATAGCAGTGTTTCTCGATTCGGAAGACAAACACATAGCACAAAAGAAAAGAATTCTAAAATTTCCAAGCATATTTTGGGGAAAATATACAAGTTCCCTCTTTCTGAATTAGAAGAAATATGAAGCTCACATATTTTGAATAGGAAATTTAAAACAGCTTGTAAGACACGCGCAAGGAAGGAAAAAGACATTCTGAAGCACATAAAAACATGTAAAGAACACTGTGTACTTGTGAAATAGAATATTTAGGATCACTTTCTATCTTCTGGAGCCTTTTTTATACAATCAGGGTAAAAGGTCAAATGTGGGGTAATTTCCATTCTTCTACTCAAACA